GACTCCGGGGCCACTATTATGACTCCCGTTTGCATCAACTGATTGTCGCAAAACAATTCATCATATTTTTGAGACAATCGCTTGATTTTGTGGTATTTGTGTTGATATCCCGGGTTATCGCAGATGTGGTGACAATAGTGGAGCCAATAGGCGAAGAACTCATCGAACTTTTCGGTGGAATCACTTCTTTCGAGGAATTGATCCACTGATTGGTGATATCCATGGGATCTGGTGTTTGGCATCACGTGATTAGCATCGATGGTCTGATCCGTGCGGTGATAATCCTGCGATTGGCTGCTCATCGACACGTCATTCGCATCATTCGTATTCATATCCATTGACACAAATAAAATGAAAACTTTTCAACAAATTTCACACTTTATGACACTTTTTGACAACTTTCCCAAACTTCGCACAAACTTTTTGAACACTTTTCACAAACTTTTAAAGTTAACCCAAACTCGAACTCAGAGCTAATGATTGGGTTCTCACTGGCGCTGCCTTTTATAGCCAGTGACCCAAACCTATTCAACCAATGAGAGCACTCCGATTCGAGACCCACTGACCAATGAGTGGACACCTGTTATCAAATTCTAGCTATTATTCATTGACGCAATCATGTGACTGACGACAGGTGTTCACCCTTTTTAAGCCTTCACTACGAGTCCACCTAAGGGTCAGTCCTAAGGGACCCAAACACTTGACTTTAATGCCTATTGAAAGCCAATGCATTGACTGCTAATCAATAAGTATTGACGCAATCACTGGTCAACAGGTGTTTAATCCTTTCAAATATACAGTCAAACCTCGTTATAAAACTACAGTCAATGCTCGTTATATTTACTATTTACAAAGCTATGCATTCAATACTAGTTATAATTTTGTTTTCGTTTAATTTATTTTAAATAAACACCTAGATCATTTAATAATTCTAATTTAATATCTAATATTTTAAATACAATTATAATAATTAATATAATTTAATTATTTTGTATTTCTTTCTATTTCCCAATGATCAATGTGTTTAATTACTATTTTATGAACAGGTATATGATTACATGTTACATTAAATAACCATGTTTGAAATATTGTGTCTATTTTAGAATTGATTTTTAATTTTGCAAGCATACAGTTAATTTATAATTATATTAAATTAACTAAGATAATAGTCTAACTTTGTTCTAGCACCTAAAATATTCAAATTACTTTTTATCTAACCATTTAGAAATAATTTTAGTACACATTCTTTAAGTAATAATTTTGGTTTTATTAGTGAATTAATTATATTTATTACTAATTAATGTTACGATTACCACATTTTAATTCAATAATTAACAAACACTTAACAAGGTAACATTACTTGCGTTACAATTGAATTGCCTCAATCTCTAATTACCCAAAACAGATTTGAGTAAAAAACATATTTTATAATTAATACGCAGACTAATATCCTGGTCAAATTAAACGATTTATTATCAAGCACACAATTGAACAAATTATACATAAGTATTGGCAGTTTTATATTTGTATTTTTAAATAAATTCATAAATAATGTCGTAATAGTAAAACACATTTAATTTTTAAAATTATAATTAATGATAATTTATATTTTGTACGTTTCGGTTAAATAAACTACTGCATAGGTTCAGGGATAGTTTGATAACTAATAATATAATACATATTTTTAATCAAATGAAATTCAATCATTGCTTTAATATAAAACATAAGTTTTCTATTGATAATTTTAAATAATTATACTGTATACTACTTTTATTTACTATTGAAATACAATATTAACAAAAAATTAATTAAAATATAAATAATCAATCATAAGCTGTAGTCCTACGGACTCCGGACTAAAATCATGAAAACATTTAGCAATTACTGTAGTCTTATCGGCGATTGTATCATAACTGTTATCAATCTTATCATTGATGAGGACAGTACCATAGTATGACAATAATCATAATAATACTTATAATAATAAACTGATAGTTTGTATAATAGATTGCCTATAATAATACTTGTACGGTAAATAATCCACTAAATACTGTTTACTTATTATTAAGTAAATTAATAAATAAACTAACATATAAATATTTTAGCATAATCAGTTGAAACAATTTATTAAACCACATTTAAAGCCTTACAAGTTAGTCATACAATAGTTTATCATTTAATTCGTAAATAATTTCAACATAATTAAACTAAATTACACAATACACAATCTTATATAATTACCAAACTTTTACTTGGTAATATGAGTTGTCATTGACTAGCCTTGATAATATAAACAGTTACAATTGGTGGTCTTGGGGTTCTGGGTGATATCGTCACTACAGACGCCGCTATAATATCCGGCCTGAACACAGGATAAATAGCATGGATATGGATTGCAGGAATACATACAGGTGCGCAATCGGGGTGAATTACGCACACAGCCCGTGTAGGTGAACACACCTTGGGCCCCGGGAGGTGTTGATGACTGGCACGCGTTGTAGTCCTGGTTAGAGCACGTGCTCTCGGCTATAAGGGAATGGGATTAGAAATGATAACATTATAATTAAATAGACTTCTAATACCTTTGCTTATAATAAGCACAAGAGTAACCGTCAAAACCAATACTTTTGCTAAAAACATTGTTATTGTAAAATAGCTTACTTATATAAATAATTATCTTGATCAAATGAATGGATCGCACAACTGAGACAATTTTGAAAAGTTTCGAGAGATTTTATTTATAATTTTTAACAAAATCATAAATAATGATAAAAACATTTGATTTTTAAAATGATTAATAATAATATTTATTAAGTATATACCGAATGATAAAATATTCCACCAAACATATTACAGTTTACCTGTACTCAGGGTCATTTGTACTATTAATCTTAAATCCATTTTAATATTTGGATATAATGTTATTTATTGTTTTAAAATAAAACACCGTTATTAATAAATTATTTCAATGTTTACAGTTTTACTTTAATATAATGTGATATAAATATTATAAAATATATTAAGTAAAACTATCTCATAATTATAAAGTTAATTATTTAACATTCAATTGAAACCAAAATCATTATTCATAAGCTGGTAGTCCTACGGACTCTGAAATCATCAAAACATTTAGAAATTACTGTAATCTTATCGGCGATTGTATCAAATCTGTCATCAATCTTATCATTGATGAGGACAGTAGTCATACCGAAATCCACGGCACCTGTAATACCAGACAATAAGCCCTCAAATAAACGCAATTGTGTAGGAAATCCGGAGGCGATGCAAACCAAGTATATATCAGGTGCCAGATTATTATACCTGACATCGGGGTCATATAATAACTGAAATACTTATCAAGGTAACATTTGTCAAATCTATCCATAACACAACACAAGAATTTATTGTTGGTATTAGTGTCAATAGCCATCGAAATGTCATTCATTTAAATTCATATATGCTTATATAATATAATATTTCTAATAATTTTTAAATAAATACATAATAGTTATATAGTATAACTAAATTAAATGTTAGTATACTTTATTTTTAAAAGTTAATATAATTATTAAACAATTTTTACTTGAGACCAAGCATAATTTATTTATTCACATTCAACAATAATTTATTTGTAAATAATCTAAAAACAAAACTAATCACAAAATCACTTCACTATTGGTTAACGTCTCATACGAGGGATTCCTAACCATATTGTGTTCAATACTGAGTATATGTTCATTAATTTGCTTACAATTACTATTCATTCTTATAATATCGTCATCACTACAGGACTTCACATCCATATCCCTATTACTCCCAAGCCTTACATCAAAATAATGGGAATCAATTGAGTTGTAAATCCTTTCGCCATTATTATAGTAGTTATCTTCAGAGACACCACTCTTTGTCCTCAACGAGTCGGCGCTCATCACATGCCGTCCCCTCTTGAGTCTCACCACAAACACAATCATAGCTATGATTATAGCGATGGATACACAGGATACCAGTGCCAACACCAGTGCACTGATCTCTATCTCCGACAGTTCACTACCACCTGAACAGCTCTGCAGCTCCTGGCGATTGAAACACAGCCGTAAGCGCCGGTAGTTTTCATTTAGGCACAGGTTTGAGTGGTTGTCGTGGGGTGTATGGGACGGGTATACCGTTCGCTCGCGAATCCACGTCGAATTGGACATACATTTGATCATATATTCACTGATGAGATCCCTGTCCAGCGCGCACTCATTGATGAACAAATAGCCGGCGCTCTCATTGACCACAATATGATAGTTTTGGTAGACATAGCCCTCTGGGCTATAGCTCTCTAATGAGCTACAAAAGCTACCGGTGCTCGCATTTGACACCATTGCTAGTTTTAATTATGTTATCATTAATTTTATAATTTGAAATAATATTGTTTATAATAAATGTTAAAAAGTTTATTCATTTTCATAGTTTCGACTAATTTTTTATTGCATTGAATTTACAGGAAAATTATTTGTAGCGGATATTCAAGCGACAAAACATACGCTAATACTGTATATTATTATTAGTAACAATATACAGATTAACGTCTATTAACTATAAACACCAACACAAACATAAATTTTATTGTTCATTACAAATGTTATCTAGCACATTTTATGCAGCACTTATTTATTTTAATATAAAGTTTTATTACTTGTATGTTATTAAGAATTTCTATATTTACTAAACATTATGTTATAAATAGTAATACAAACATAATTCAGACTTAAGATTCTCTCACTTCCTGTTGTAATACAAATAGATTGCAATCAAAATAAATAAATATATTACTCATATTCTTAACACTTAAAAATTATCTAATTTTGTGATTGAAATCTACTTATTACCTCACTAGTAAATTAAATTCAATATAAAACTGAATGAGTATACAACGCAACTAAATCATAATAACGTTATGAATCCCACTCCTAACCAACGGATACTCGTTCATATAAATTCATGTCTATTTAGCTTCCCATTAGCTCATCATCAATCACCATCGTAATTTTGTAAAACGCCCTCTCCCCATTTTAACTCAACTCAATTCTTAAGTCAATTATTAATAAATTAATAAATCTAATTTTTATAACAAAAACTAAAACATTAAAATTTAGTGTATTTAATACTAGTACTTTTTATTTAACAAAACAATTTATACATAATAAAATTATATATACAATAAATACAATGAGATTAATCTGAACAAAGCCCACTGGCCTCTATCATAACCGTAATATCGTAACACTTTTCAATAAGCGACTGAACTTTGACCTGAAGTTCTTCATCAAACTCATCAAAGTCCAGACCATTGCAGGACTCGTGGACACTGACCAACACCTTTTGGATAACCCTTACGATGGTTTTGCTTTGACCGATAATCTGTTGATCGCCCGACGCAATACACCCCTCCATAAAGACCTCCAAATAATCGCTTAAGACATTCACCACATCGAGGGCTCTGTCGCACCATTTGTCCAGATCTGCCACATCTGTGGCCGACCCTATTATGGCGTTCAGTCGACTCTCGATATTGTTCATCACATTCTGGGATATAGTGGTGAGATGTACCAGAATATTCTGGATAATTGATTTGTTTACGGCATCTTTACTGGCAAATAAGCTAGAACACTTCTCGAAATATGCTAATTATACAAAGCCAAAAACAATAATTAGTATATTATTATCCAGTTAATTAGATAGTTAATAAATTACCTGTTAACGTGGTACACTGTGTATTACAGGCAATACTGATCCCAACGGATATTAACAAAAAACTTGCGATTAAGTAGTATTTCATTATTTCGATGTTTAAGTAAAAATGTATTATTACTCCACATTAAGTTTATAACTAATGTTATGTTCAGTTAAGAGGCTTTTAATATAATGTTAAAGACTTGTAGAAATTGCATTCAGGAATTTTTACACTGCAATAAAAAAGTGTATGGTTTGTGTTTTATGGTGAGTTACTAGCAATTTATATACCAAATAATTATTTCATTATCGCAAATATTAATCAAATAATTCGTTAGACTTTTACCTATTTTATGGACTTTTTTTTTGTCTTTTATCAAAATTAATATATTTATTATCCTTTAGGCCATTGATTTATAGTATTATTATTTAATTCATTCATTTAGAAATATCATGCTACATTTAAAATTTTTAACCAATAATAAATGCAATAATAATACCTTATTCATAATTCTAATACAGTACTATAAATTAATTTTAAAATTCATTACTAATAGTTTCTGTAAATATTTAATTTAAACTTTTAAGTGATAACATTATATTATATAATGCAATAAAATGTTAGCAAACATAGCAATAAATTAAATGATATAATCAATTGTCATAATCACAAATAATTTATTACATTTAATATTTGTTACCAACTGTCAAATGTATTGCAATTGTATTAATCATTACCCAAATAAAGCATATTTATAGATTTTAAGTCCCAAATTGATTTCACTATATGAAATACCCTGTTGATAAAAGTATTAATTATTTCATAAATTGTCATGTTTATATCATACAAATTAGTCTGATTCATACACTGTTTACATTTTGTAATAACATTTTCCATTACTAGATTTATTAGCAATATTTTAACTTTATGTTAACCAGTGAATATAATAAGACATTTAGTTTTTAATAAAATTACGAATAAAATATTATATAAGAGTAAACAAGGCAAATTGAAAATATTTTAAGAATCACAATTGTAATACATTTATAAAATTTTAAACTAACCAGAATAGCAATTACAATTGGTATTACGAGTGCTTATATCATAGTAGCACTGTCCAGACGGATAACCACTGGTAACACATGTAGTATTACAAGGGATTTCATTGCATATATACACACAGGTGCGCACCTGACCGCTAGTTCGCCGACAGGTACTGTAGCTAAACACACCGGAAGGCCCAGGAATTGGCGATTGAGAACATTGTTGTCGGTCGTATTGTGAGCAAGCACCATTCACGTTCACTGTTTTTAATGGAATATTTGAACGTAAATTAAATACAAGTATCCTGTTAAATAATTATTAAGTATATGGTTAATTTAGTACCTTTAATTACAGTTAATAACACAATAGAAATAAATATAAATAATAGTTGTTTTATTAACATTATTTAAAAACCAATTTTTATATTTAGTGTTGAATAAAATAAAACTCTTATTTTATTTCACAAAAACTACAAGTATTTGAAAACTCGTTTTTAAAAATATGTGAAATTTCTTGGTATTTATAAACTATTGAAAGTGATATTGACATTGATTTGATCTGTTTTTAATAGGTTTATACATTTTATTTGTTAAGTAAATATTCCTGTGATCGATGCTTAATAATATTAAGTAATTCATAATATTATATTATATTTCATATTTTAGTTATATAATGTTAGTATTATAAAAGTTAAAAAATATTTTTTTTAATTTGTAAAGTTATATTTATTCAGACCCCGAGAACTATAATATATTATACTGTTCATATATTAATGTTCCAAATGTAACCAATGTAAAATATTGACTACAATTATTAATGCCATAACACCAACTATTGTCCTTTGAAATCATATATTGTATAGTTCTCTATATTACATTTATATTTATATAGTATAATATTACAAATATATTTCTAGTAATATTTTATATACTGCGGTACAAATTGTACTTACAGTTTAGTCAGCAAAATTCAGAATGATCTC